GATGGGGGCTTAATTTCACTTTGCTGCATATGGATTTCCAGTTCTCCTAGCACCATTTGTTGAAGAGGCTATCTTTTCTCAGATGCACATTTTTGGAGCCTTTGTGTAGTATGAGATAACTGTACTTAAGAGGGTTTGTCTCTGTGTCTTCTACTCTGTACCATTGGTCTATTTTCATGCCTATATTTTGTTACTATTGCTCTGTAGTATACTTTAAGGCCTGGTATAGTGATGCCACCTGCTTCACTCTTCCTGCTAAGGATTGCTTTGGCTATTCTGGATCTCTTATTTTTCCAGATGAATTTCATGATTGCTTTTTCTATTTCTATGAGGAATATCGTTGGGATTTTGATCAGAATTGCATTACATCTGTGTAGTGCTCTTGGTAGTATGGTCATTTTGACAATATTAATTCTGCCTGTCCAAGAAAAAGGGAGATCTTTCCATCTTCTAAGGTCTTATTTAATTTCCTTCTTTAGCATTCTGTAGTTTTCATTGTAGAGGTCTTTCACCTCTTTCAGTAAGTTGATTCCCAAGTGTTTTTTTAAGGCTATTATAAGTGGGGTGGTTTTCCTCATTTCTCTTTCAGAGGATTTGTCACTGATGTACAGAAGTACCTTTGATTTTGGGGTGTTGATTTTATATCCTGCTACTTTTGCGGAACTCATTTATTAGTTCTAGCAGTTTTCTAGTGGAATTTTTTGGATCATCTAGGCATAGAATCATGTCATCATCAAATAGTGATAATTTGACTTCTTTTTTTCCTTTTCATATCCCTTTAATTTCTTTTGTGTGTCTAATTCCTCTGGCTACAGTTTCAAGAACTGTTAAATAGAAGTGGTAAAAGAGGGCATCCCTGTCTTGATCCCTTTTTTAGAGGGAATGCTTTCAAGTTTTCTCCATTTAGAATGATGTTGGCCTGGGGCTTAGCATAGATAACCTTTATGATGTTAAGATATGTAACTGTTATCTCTGGTTTTTCTAGTGTTTTGAACATAAAGCGGTGCTGTATTTTGTTGAATGATTTTTCTGCATCTATTGAGATGATCATATGATTCTTATCTTTAAGTCTATTGATGTGATGAATTACATTTATTGATTTCCATATGTTGAACCAAATTTGCATCCCTGGGTTGAACCCCACTTGATCATGGTGCACTATCTTTTTAATATGTTTTTGTATTCAATTTTCCAGAATTTTATTGAGAATTTGGCATCTATGTTTTCATTATAGATATTGGTCTGAAGTTTTCTTTCTTTGATGTGTCTTTGTCTGGTTTTGGAATCAGAGTGATATTGGCCTCATAGAATGAGTTTGGAAGTGTTTCCTCTTTTTCTATTTCATGAAATAATTTGAGTAGTATTGGTATTAGTTCTTCTTTAAAGGTCTCGTAGAACTTGGCGGTGTATCCATCCGGTCCTGGGCTTTTCTTGGTTGGTAGGCAGAAAAAAAAAAAAAAACACAGGGGGATCCACGAACCTTGCAGCACCTGCCCCATCTCTCCTGCTGAGTCCCTCTGTTCTGCAGAGCAGGCTGGTGCAGCGCACCCTGGGAAGGGCCGTGTTCCTGGCTCCTTTCCTTTCTCTTGCTTTTCTTCATTTCTCTCCCTCCTCCCTTTTGTTCTTTCTGTTTGCTAGGCTATCAACATTTTAAAGGCATATAAATAGCTAGTCCTATTTTTACTGTTTCATTCAACAAACATGAATTATGCATGATATAGTCAGAAGAAACATAATTCAGAGAAAAGAAAAATAATCTTTGTTCATGTTGTTCGTGGTGTTCTTTCAAAATATGCTGACAGGCACTACCCAGAGAGTCAGTCCCTACCCTATTTGTAACTTGCTGTCCCCCTCAGTTTGACTAAACCACTCTTAAGCACTGTTCAGGAAACATATGACATTTTTGACAAGAAAACTGGTAAAGTTATTTTTACTATCTGTAACTTGGATCTAAAACTAAGCAGCACAAATTTTACTTCCCTGATTTAATATTGTTAACTGTAAGTTTACAAAGAGATTTGATAAATATCAAAATGATTATAAAGTCAGACAGTTATTCATAAAGTAAATTTGTACACTGCTAACCTTAAATGTCATCCTCCTGCCTCTGACTTGCAAACAGATCGTGTGACCCTAAAATGGTGGTGATGGACTGGCCCCATGGTGAGCCGGTGAGGAAGCGTTTGTAAGCCACCCTACCATGTGCTGCGCCTACAGGGCTGGTGTGGGCCAAGCTCCCGGTGGGTGCAGGTGGGACCCCTCCTTAGTCACCTTCTTACTCAGTTTGGTTTCTAGATTCCTCAGCTGGGGCTGCTGTCACAGTGGGTGTCGAAACAGGAT